ACTTCAAAACGTCGTTCAGTTTAATAATATTGTAGTTGTGTACCGAGAGTAAAACATCTTCCACTCTAGTGCTATTTGTAGTTGTATACCGAGATTAAAACATCTTCCACTCTAGTGCTATTTGTAGTTGTATACCGAGAGTAAAACATATTCCACTCTAGTGCTATTTGTAGTTGTATACCGAGATTAAAACATCTTCCACTCTAGTGCTATTTGTAGTTGTATACCGAGAGTAAAACATCTTCCACTCTAGTGCTATTTGTAGTTGTATATCGATTCCGAAATGTTGTTCATTTCAACACTCCTTGTAGTTGTAGTCCTGAGTTTGTGTTTTTAGAGCAAAGCCACATTGAGCTATCTGCTATGTCCGCCGCGGGGAATTGAACCCCGAATTTTAGTGTTGTACGTCCATAGACTTACCGCTGTCCCATCACCTGGCCGTGCCGGGCCCAAAGCTGTAGCTATCGAAAGCGTTCGGGTTATATGGTTTTGTATTTTTGTACACAATATCTCGTATATCTATTATATTAAACTGAAATTCACATTTTTAAAAAACTTTATCACTGTCCTTAGAGAGATACCGTACGACCGAGGAGAGCACGTGAAAGTCTCCTCCATATATTTGATAAAGTGTTAAATTTAAATATATGGAAAAAAAAATCTTGAAACAAAATGTCAAACACAGAGGTAAGGTATAAAAACGTTTTTGCATTTCATATTGTTAGGATACATTGTTATCAATATACTATACATTTTCCACGGATACGTTTAACTTCTTTGAAAACCATATTATCGACGAGTACAAGGCTCCGCCCAGCTACAAGTGCAACGAATTATTCAAACAGGTAAGTCCGTTTTTAAAATGAAGAAAAATGTGATTTGTATTTTGAATTATTGTGATTTTCTGGTTTCGGATATTCGAACAAACTGTGGGTTAATCTTGTATGATTATGGGCTTTGATCTTCACTTTTATAACGCACCCACGGTCCCAAAATGTGAAGCACGACTTTAGGGCAAAGGGACATGAAACATGGACCCTCGGATTTACAGTTGTTTTTAATACATCGTGCAAGAGTTTAGTATTACTAAGGTAAGAAACACTTAGATTTAATTCGTAGCACTTGATCTCCGTTTCTTTAGGTTTATTTCCATGTTTGTCTATTGGGGCTCTCACAGAAAAAAGGATTTTCCAGATCATCATTAATTTGAAACGATGAAAGTGTCAATATGCGTGTAGCGAACAATTTACTGAGGTATAGCGATTTGTCCTCCAGTGGTTCAGCTGAAATCTGGGATTCGATTCCCCGCGTAGCCATTCCTTTGTATAGCTTTGCATTAAAACAACAACATCAACATGGCGACTTTAAAACCAACTATAACAGCCACGTATATTTTGCAACATCGTAAAACCGTAACAGAAATTTTAATAAGTTGAATACTGTGCTTTTAAACCTTCAAGACTAGATGTAATTCCGGAAGATCCCCGAAAGTGTTCTGTTTCAAGAGTAAATAAAAACCAAAATGAAGAGTAACAAATATCTTTATTTCTTGCGATTCCTGGCATGCGCACGTTTTACTGACGTCAGGACAGTATAAATTGCAACGTTAAACGTCCCTTATGTGACGTCATTTTAGTGTCTACTGACTGACTTACAGACAACACACTACTGTATAGTTATATAATGATTCATAACTTCTTTCGCTGTTTTTGAAATTCCTATTACAACTTACCAAACATGGATATGGTTTTGTTTGCTAAATACCTCCACTTAAAAAAAACTTTTGCTTAATTATTAAAACGGTTTTAGAAACTGCTTTCTTTCAGTATTGCGTTATATAACTGCGCTCATAAAAATGAAACCGGTACATAAATATATGTATTTTAATAAAACGCTCAAAGAAAAATTAATTTTCAAAGATTCTTCAATAATGGTCTCTTTGAAGTCAAGAAACTTTTCCACAATCTCATGTTTCAAAATACCATTTTGACATTCCCTATTTTTATTTCAAACATATATTAGAGTTGATGTTTTATAGAATCTGAGTCCTTTTAAGAAGTGGGTGCATTATAGGAGTAACAGTCAGTTATTTAGTGTGGATGATGTGAGGTAGGTTACTGCCGACTGGCTGATTTCCTTCTGGTCATAAGTTCAAAGTTAGGGATTGCGACAGATAGCTTTAGCAGATTTGCCTTACGTTTTTGGATCCAATAACCACCAACAGTTCGCTTAAAGATGACGCAGGAATAAGATTTTCTTTCAGAGCAGAAAACAGATACGTTTTTGATGAATAGTTTTATGGCCAACTGTCTGAAGAATTTTAATAAGGGATGACGTTTCGATGCGATTGTATCTTCGTCAGGTTCATAGTTTCGAAGGACTTACTATATTACGTTGTGACAGCCCGGCCGTGAAAGGAAACTCGTGTATTAATGCCTGACTGTCTTTGAAAAAAACTGCAGCTGTTTGAGTCTATGTGATGTTACGTATTAGTCATACGTTATGCTCCAGCTGAAGCAATAGTTTTTTACCAGATGTGTTTGTTCGTTTGTTATTAAGCACAAAACTACACTATGAGCGATTTGTGTTATGCTCACCACGGCTACCGAAACCCCGATTTTTAGCGCTATGAGCCATCAGACTTTCCGCTGAGTCACTTGGGGGGGGGGGCAGGATTGTATCTTGAAGCTCTTTCCAGTGTCATCCTGGATGTCTACTGGTTTCGCCTACTTAATAAAGACGGTTTGCAAATGTATGTCACTGAAAATTGATTTTGAGTTTATAATAATCGTAGGTTTTTCTGGGTTTGAAACAAGTTTGAATTTATAACTTTGTGCACATCTTAGCTTGAGATGAAGTAACATAGCGGTTCTGGCTTATTTGGCAGTTAATACTGGCTTATTTGAAGTTATCTCTGAAAATTGTTTTGATATGTCCTGGTTTTGTTGATATTTCTTCTGATGACTTATGGTTTGTGTTACTTGAATTGAAGCTGTGAAGGTTATTTTTCTGTAATGACGTTGGAGTCAGTTTGTGCGGCTTAGTTTGCTGTATTGACTTTTATTTACGAATACAAATTGTCACGATTAG